CCACCCCACCCTACCCTCTAACTCTCTGATTATATAGATACAACATTCACACTTAGATTAACTTTCACATTTTCCAATCTCCAACAATTCTCTTCTCAAATCTCTCTCCTTCTTCAACTCTTTTCACAAACCCTAATTTCTCTCTTCAAGGTTTTCAATCTTTCTTCATTTCTTCAAGTTTAAGATTGATTCTGCCATATGGGTTTTGCTTGAAATAGTAGATTTAACATAACCCATCTTTCTTTTTCTCTTAACTCCACAGGCAAATTAAGACAAATGGGTGATGATCATGATCATCTTGGTACAACAACAACAACAACAGCCATGAAGTCATTTTCTTGTTTGTTCTGTTCAAGAAAGTTTCTGAGTTCACAAGCTTTGGGAGGCCATCAAAATGCTCACAAGAAAGAAAGAACAGCAGCAAGAAAGGCAAAGAGGGCATCTAATTACAGTTACAACGCTGCTTCATTGCTCCCACAACCTCCATTGCTGTTTGCAGCTCCACCTTCTTTAAATGGGATTCTTGATCCATCATCTCTTTGCTTTAATCCATCTCATGAACCCAATCTTTGCCAATTCCCATTTGATCAACAGTATTTCTACAAAGTCAACGATATGAATCCTTGTAATCATCAAGAAGATGATCAAGATCAACATATGAGTTTCTTGAACCAGCAGAATTTGAGGTTGTTTATGTATGAAAAGAATCAGGAGAGCAATTCATGTGTTAGAGATAAAGATCATCCACAAAAGCTTGACCTTTCACTCCATTTATGATAATTTGGAGATCAAAAGTTTGTGGGAAAGATTTATAATTATGAGGTTGGTTTCATTTTATGTTGTAGAAGAAGAAAGGAGAGACTTTTAAGGGGTGTTTGTTTACCCCCTTAACAGTTCCATTAAGAGACAACATCTGAACCATTAAGAGGTGAATCTTGTTTGGTAAAAAAAAAATGTGTCTCTTAATGGTTCTAAAACCCTCTGAATGATTTTGTATCATGAGCCTCTCTTAACCATTAAGCGCACTAATTTCATTGTAAACAATTACCAAATAATTATATTTCATTTTGCACTATATCATGAAAGTCTCTTAGTCATTCTGACCACTTAATCATTCTGCAATTAACAAACCATTTAACAACTGTCAAACTGCCCCTTAATGTGATTTTGGCGACTTGATTATTTTTTATATATGGATGAACTAAGAACTAGATAAGATTGTGGGTTGGACATGGATCCAGCAACGAACCCAATTTATTTTTTCAAACGGTGGCATCATTTAACTATAAGAAAAAAATTTTAGGAAAAAAAATATTCAAATGGCGGTACTGTTTGACTATAAAAAAACAAATATACGGAATTTCTTCCGGTACCATTTGACTGAGAAAATGACATTAACATAACTTGGGTTTGGGTGGAATAAAACAACTCTACCAAATTAAACTTGTTCTCGTTATAGTTTTAAAATGCATACGGTGACACATAACATATTAATACAGTTGCACCTTTAACGAACCTAATTTGAAAGAGGTCTAGTATCTTTAGATGCATCTAAAAAACGAGTGTGTGTGTTTTAGTGTGTGCCTACCTAGTCGAAAAAGTTTTATGTTTTAGTGGAAATAGAATCACATTTTAGTGTTTCTTTTACAGATACGAGTTGTAGATGGTTAAAGCGGGAATTTAAAGCACACAAATAATTGGAAGCTTTGATGAGCGGTGTACAAAATATCAGACTAACCTGATCAACCCAGCCGAGATAACTCAATTCAATCCCAATCTGTTCATATGTAATCGAGTTGTAAAATTTCAAAAGTGTAGCTGGTATTAGATTGTAATTGGGTTAGAGGCATTTGAACCCAACATGTTGAACCTGATGTTTTTCTGTATCACATATTTAATATGATTGCTAAATCTCTAGGTAATATATATATATATATATATATATATATATATATATATATATTAGACTAAATGTAATTAACTTTACTTGTAATTATATCATAATTTCAACTGTAATTTTACTTTTTTTATTTTTAACCTTCTTTTTTTGTTTTTTTTATCATAAACATAAATAATAACTATTAATTTTTTTTATCATATATAACTTTATCAAAATAATATAATTATTTTTGTCAATTAACTTTTTTTTACCAAAAGAAATATATAACTTTATTAAATAAAAAAAGACAAAAATACCAAAATACCAAAAAGAAATCAAAAATATATTTAATAAACCAAAATATTTAAAGAAAAATAAATCAAAAAGTCTAAAATACCCCTAAGTTAATAGAGGAGTCTTATCATATCTTGTCTCGGAGACGAAAATATTAATATTTTACAAACCACAGGGACAAAAATCGCAATTTTCTCAAACCATAGGGAAGAAAAAAAATAGTAATTTACTCTTTATATTTTTTAAAATATAAATAAGAGTAAATTATGTTTTTTGTCCCTATGGTTTGTTAAAAATTTCTATTTTCATTCGTGTGGTTTTGAAATTACGATTTTCATCACAATGGTTTATAATTCATTATTATTTTTATTCTTATTCTTATTCTTATGCTTTAAAATTTATTGTTTTTTTCCATCCATATAGTTTACAGTTCATAATTATTTTAGTCCCTCATACTTAAAAGTAGTAGTCAGTCTGAGGGACTAAAATAAAAATAAATTACAAACCATATAAATAAAAACTGCGATTTCAAAACCGCATGAACAAAAAATCCACAATTTCTAACAAACCACAAAGACGAAAAAAATTTAGGAGCCGATAAGTGTTTATCGGTAAAATTTAACACTATCATATACTTACTAGGTAAGATTTTAGTCTACCAAAACGGTATCGTATACAACAATTTACTCGGTAAGTGCTTGCCGTGGTAAGAGTCGTCGCCCTCACTTACCGGGTAAGACTTTTGGGTCTTGTCTCGTTCTTACCAGATAAGATTTTTGGTCTTTATCATGTTCATCCAGTAAGGTAATGTGGCTTGACGTTCACTTACCCGAGTTAATGTTTGGTAAGCGGCCCATTAATTTACTCAAATATCAAATACATAATTTTAATACATTAAAAATATCGTTATGAAAATATAGATCCGAAACTCTGAATCCATGTAAAAGAAATTTGAGGCTAATGGAAAACACCAAATCCAACCCATAACCCGAATACCCGATGACTATCACTACCAGTATTCTAGGTCCAGCCCATTTATTATTGGGCCTGAAAGGCCCGACCCACCCTCTTGCCGGATCTTTACAAGCACTTCAAAAGGTTATATATTTATACGGTCGTTAGGTAGAGATGGACAAATCCGGCCCGATTCAGGATCCGACGATTAGGATCGGTAGGGACAGGTTTTTGGTAAAGCCAAATTGCATGAAAAAGTAACGTACTTTAACTTGATTTCTATTTTGAGTAACGTACTTTCAAAACTTTCATTTTGGTACCTAAGATGTAAAGTTTTAAACATTTAAGTACCCGGTTAAAGACTAATTTTAGAATAAAAAAATTCATGTCACCAACCACGTCAGCAAATAATACTAAGTTGGATATCACATCACTTACCACATCAACATGATAACTGGTTAATGCTTCAACCGATTACCCGAGTACTTAAATGTTTAAAACCTTATATCTTAGGTACCAAAATAAAAGTTCTGAAAGTACGTTACCTAAAATATGAATCAAGTTAAAGTACGTTACTTTTTCATGCAATTTGCCCCTTTGGTAAATAATATTTTTTGAATAATTTTATATAGTTTACTATTTTATATAAGTTAAAAATGTAAATGATGGGGGCTTTGGGATATAGGACTGGCCATTGTTGTTTATGGAGGTTATGACGGGGCTAAAAAAGGGGTCGCCTTTAAACATACACAACTTTTGCTACTTAACTCTGTTTTAGGCCCATAACCAGCTAAATTGAAACTCTGATCAAGAAGCATGTCGTGGGGACTCGGGCCTACCCGACTTTTTTTGCATAAAAAACGTCGTTTAAGCATGTTTCTTTGGACATTTTTTGTGATTTTGCTTTTTCTGTATTTTCATTTGAGCTTTTATGTTCGGTCCATGATCGTTTATTAGGCCCATTTCGTTTCGGTTTTCCCTTTTAAGACGCTTCTTGTGTAATTTGGATGGTCACGACTTGAATTCAAAAACTTTGATTTTCTTCCAAATTATGAATTCATGATGATTCGAATTTGAAGCCTAAGGTTCGGTATTCGCCGAATCAACGAACCCCCGTAAGAGATTATCCACGGGTATTCATGAAATCAACATGTTTAGTTTTTTGTCTGATTTTACTTCTGCATCAGTAAATTTCCATTCCTTTGACAAGCCCGACCCGTTTATAGGATCTGTATAGACAAACCTGCAAAATAAGCATCTTATTAATTACTGTTTAATACTTCTAACTAAATGTCAACACTGATTAAATAAACTTATTAATTATCTGAATGGTTGTGGATAAAAAGTCGACCAACCCGACACCCAACCCGAAAAAAGTTCATCCTAACCACAAGGGTGGTGCTTGATTGGTTTGAGTTTGGGCTCTAAATGTCAAAAGCTATGAAGGTTCAAATGCGATGACTCCGGACTACCCGCAAAGCAGGCGGTCGTCCTGAAATTAGTCGTCTCGCATAGCAAGTTGGATATCCAAGTTAATAAAAAAAAAAGTTCAACCCGAATTAACCCGACAAATAATTGATACAAAATTATACAAAACCGCATTTATCGGATTGGAATTGAATTAGAGTAATTTGAACACAACCCAACCAGATGAACCTGATGTCTTTCGATATTGCGGATTTAAATGATTGTTAAATCCTTAATTAATTTGTACATTAAACATTAGACCAATCCGTAATTAGTTATATTGAAAATTATTTTATAATTTCAACTATAATTTTGCTTTTTTATTTAAATAAACCTTTAACTATTTTTTGAGTCTGTTAGCCTTTTTGTTTCTTTTTATTTTCATTTAAAAAAAAACGCTTAACTAGAATGTAAAATGATGTGTCAAAGTTTCAACCCGACCAACTCAACCAACGCAATTTGGGTTGGTTGGATTGAGATTTTTGAACCTGTAAATATTAGGTTGGGTTGTCCAAACACATTTTAGCTGATGTACAAAATGTAAAATCGATAATTTATTTGTTTTAGTTATATATTAAATTTAGGTACGAATTTTCTTGCTAAAAAGAGGGGGGATGGTTTTTTATTATTATTGTTTATTGGTTTTATTTTATCAGGTGTTTGACCATTTTTAAGTCTTGTGATTTAAACCTCACTCAAACAATTTAATAACATTTAGGTAGTGTTTGGTATGCGGACTGGACGGGACATGACTAATTATCTGTCATATGTTTGGTACGACTAGGATAAGACGGGACAAAAATATTAAATGACCATTACCCCTAAATGATCCACATTTTTTGGTGGAACAAGAAATATCAAGATTTGTCCCACTAAAATTAAAAATAGTCTCACCTTGTCCCATGTCTTTTTTGTCCATGACATGCCAAACATGAGACTATTTTTTTTGTCTCGTCTTGTCCCATGTAGTCTGCATACCAAATGCACCCTTAAGATGGTTTCTTTTCATAAATTCTCTAATTTTTATTTCTAAATATTATTAATTTGGATTAATTCTTCATAAATTTAGAAACGATAAAATTTCTCATGTCATCATAATCAACTCATATATATATAGAGAGAGAGAGAGAGAAGCAATCAAATGTAAACCAACCAATTTTGTACAAACTGTGTAAACCACATT